GTTCATACAGATAACGACTGAATTATTCATACCACTTATCAGTTTGATTTGTTTTTCGTAACTCAAGGTTGAATTGGGGCCTTTGTTCAATCCTTTTAGCTGTAAGTTTTAATATGTCATATTCTCAAGAAACACAAATCAGGACTCATCAAATGTTCACGTATACTTAACACATTACTAAAGTCGGAAAGAATATGAATAATTTAGTTGTTAATTGTATGTCCTATAAAGACCTAGTTCCATACATTGGAAGTATTGTTGAAATGTATTATGGAATTGTGAACATTAACTGACATGAAAATATCATTTTATTTCACGTTTTGGATGATTCACGCTCCGGTAGGGCTATCAGCTTGATACAGCTATCAGATCGACTGAATCCGAGATGTGTAAGGTAACTAATATGAGACAGAATAGCGTGGACTTGCCCAATTACACAATTACAAAGATGATTGGATATTGGCAATCAATTTGAACTCATGATCTAGGAACGTGACAAAATAATAATGCTTTTGGTTGTTCCAGCAGTTGTTATATGCTATAATTATAATACATGAACAGTGTACATACATGTACACAATGTATAGACCACCACGACTAGCAAGGGGCTCAACACAGATTTATAAACATTAATTTAAGAGTATAATCAAATTCAAATCCATATTTACTGCAGTACAGAGTGTGATCCAAATCAGTTGCACAAGTAAGTAATAATATTTCAGTGCAAGATAAATGTACAAATGGCCGATTTGAGGAGTAAAAGCTGACATTGCTTTCATTGGTTGGCCAACACGACCAATAATTGTATTTGTTATATTGGCAGAATATTAAGAAATATTTCGTTTAATCAAGACGTCGTAGATAAAATCTTGCAAAAACATGTACAAATATATAATGAAGTATAAACATGTAAAAAGAAATACATATAAAATACAAAAATAGGATATGATATCTCACTTTTCATAAGGCAAATTGTAGGAATTGAAAGATAGTAACATGTGCGAATTAAACTTTTCACCGCTGCTAAAAACATATGATTGTGTAAAATGATATATAACAAAAAAATAATAATCGTTGTTTAATGTCAGAATTGTTCATTTATATTCATATATATATATATATATATATATATACATATCTTTGTTGTTCTTCTTCAATTTACATGCATCTTATCTTTAACAATACAAAAAATAAACTAATCTGTGACAATTAAATCAAGTATGTAGCACTTTGATTTCTTTTACATCCATGTGCTTGAATGTTATTTTTCTCACTTGAGGCACATCGTTATTCACCGTAATCTATAATGTAAAATAATATCCAAAGTTCACGAACATTCAAACTGAACATAGTACAATCAACTCTACAAGTAGGCATCATTTTAAATATTTATATCTTACAATAAGGAAATGCCTTCAATATCACACATGTCTTGAACATTCAAAATGAATATGGTTTTAATCTTTTCTATCAATTATATAAGCTATGATAATCAACGAAACGGAGTTAAGTCTTTTGTCAACTCTGTTTGACGCTACGGCAGGCAGCCAGTAAAAACGAATTCGTTTAATCGAATAATGGAAATGCAAGCATTACTTTAAACAAACAGAATTTTGTCTTCCTGGCTTACTTCCTGATTGAGGTGTCATATGAAAGGGCAGAAAATGAACCTTCTTGAAATGTGATGTTCTCTTTGAAATTCAGATACCGCCTGCTAAATGACCTTTTAGTTTCTTCTCTTTAAAATTGGTTTTAATCACTCATGCGTGAAAAATGCATCATATGAGTTGCATCAAATGAAAGAGGAGGATCTAAGCTTTACAAATATATGTCATTTTAAAATTATAATTGTGATTAAGTTTCGTTTATTCTGGGACGCACTGTACATGTATAACCCTTTGTTCTCTGACCTCATGACCCTAAAATCTAATCAGTTTATTTGCTCTGCAAGATACATACATGTCCTGAGCTTGATAGTAATCCATCTGTCGGTTCTAATGCTAATGCGTTCACAAGCTATTTTTGTGTACATAATGAGCCCCATGATATTTGAACTTTGACCTCATGACCCTTAAATCTAATCAGTTTCATTGGCTCTGCAAGATGCATACATATCTTCAGTTTGATAGTAATCTGTCTATCGCTTCTAATAATAACGCGATTACAAGCTATTTTTGCATACATAATGAACCCTGTGACATTTGACCTTTGACCTTATTACCCAAATTTTAATCAGTTCATCGACTTAGCAAGATATAATATACTTGTATTGATTTTGATGGTAATCCGTCAATCGATTATAGTGAAAATATGATCATGAGCTATTTTTGCATACATAATGAGCCCTGTGACCTTTGACCTCGTGACCCCAAAATATAATCAGCTCAATGGCTCTGGAGTCCATCAATCGGTTCTTGAGATAACGCGATCACGAGAACATGAGGTGCGGACGTACGGATGGACGGACAACCTGAAATCAAAATGCCTTCGGCTACTTCGTTGTAGAAGCAACAAAATGGCAATTCTTGGGAATCAATAGTTCACTGTGACGGCAAATACAACATGGTCGATAGATAGGGTTATGTGGCTTCAGATATGTCCAATCTTTTCCTCTATCGCTCTTCTGCGTTGTGCAAACGTCATGGATGACTCATCTGAATTGAGGATAACAGGAAAAAAATAGGTATATATTTAAATAATTTGTGTTATTAAGCAAATAATTACCGTTGGTGTAGGTGATGGGACAAACTATCACTTCCGAGGCGATCTGGATGTAGCTATCTTTCCGAAGCGAAGCTGAGGAAAGATAGCGTATACATTCAGATCGCCGAGGAAGTGAAAGTTTGCCATCGCCTGAAACCAAAAGGTGATTATTTGCTTTATATTCCACATTGATTCCACATCAATTAACAGCAAACAAATGGTGCACGATATGTATAGTGCATGCAGTAAACGTACGTATACGCAACATTTACAATCTTCAGTGAAAGTGCGTTTCACTGTGTAGATATCTAATACTATGTAACGAACTTTTCTTCTCCCATAAATGATGGGCTAACTATCTTTCATCACGACGTGATTTACTTCTGACCAATCGTAGAGCAAGATGCTTAGTATGTTGAATATAATTTAATTTAATCCAACGATGCTTGCAGCACTAGAAGCGTTGACAGATTATTTGGAATAAATATAACTGCAACACACTATCAAAGTTAGTTGTTTTTGTGTGTGGCAAGGAGTGAGGTTCAAATAGGAAATCCAATCAAATAATACAGTCAAACCTGTCTATAGCGACCGCCCAAGGGAAACACAAAATGTGGTTTTGTAGACAGGTGGTCTTAGTGGAAAGGTTCCTTTAGTACATATTTCAATGAGAAGCCATTTTTAAGGGAAACATAAAATTTGGTCTTTGTTGACAGGTCACTAAAGCAGGTTTGACTGTGAAACAATAATGATAGGGTAGGGGTGTGACTAATCTGCTATTCAAGGGTGACATTGGGTTAGAAAGTAGGTATTTTGTTTAAACTGAGACATTTTGTTCCCAAGAATATACTTGTGTTATTATATAAGGCTTTTATACAGCCTCACCTCTCTTATGGAGTAGAGGTATGGGGGAGCACTTACAAAAGTAATCTAAATTGTATATATTTAAGTCAAAAAATGGCAATGAGAGCAATTACATTCAGTCCACATAGAACAGACTCCAAAGCTCTTTTTCAAAGTCTAAACATTTTAAATATTTTTCAACTTCATGAACTTCTTGTATCAATATTTATGTACGATTTGGTAAAAGGTTTTTTACCACACTCTTTAGTGGATTATTGTCAGATGATACAGCACAGATATGCAACTAGGAGAAAAGAAAATGGCTTACTTTATCAACCAAAATGTAAGATAACGCGGGGGCAATTTTGTATTTCGTATGTAGGAACAAAGCTGTGGAATGATCTGCCAGATGAAATTAGATTAAAAGCATCAAGGTTATCTTTTCGGAGACATCTTTCCACCTACCTTCAATGTAAATGACGTGGGCTCAATCCCATCCCCCTTCGTATTTTCCTTTTATATTACTTGTCTTCCTTTTATATATGTATACACTTCCTTGTTTACGATTATAGCGGCCTTAAGCTTTTACAGGATTTGTGCATGTACGTACATGTGTATGATTATTTTTATTAGTATATCCTTTTCATTTTTATGAACACATTGATGATTTTATTTCTTCAAAGATTTGTCTTCTTTCATTATAATGCTTTAACGCGTAAGCTTTTTTTTTTTTTTTTTCATTTTAGTTAAGAAAAAAAGTTACATAATATTGTATTATTTTGTTGTATATATATGTAAATACAAAACAAACAAGTTTTACATTCATATGTAAAAACAAATTAACAGAAAAAATCTTGCCAAAGAATGGAACTAGGTTCGACTAGCACTTGTGCTAACTTCTAGTTCCCATTAACAACTTCACCTAAACACAGTAATATACATATTTACGTATATATCTTTTGTACATTTAATAGTATGCAGATGTATGTCTAAAAAATATCGTTTTAAAACCATTACTGTTCAATCGACATTACTCTTATGTTATGTATACATGTATCAGTATTATTTTTTGCATTGTATGATTGTTCATATGTACTGTCATTATTGTGATGTGTTGTTGTTAATAAATTCAAATTCAATTCAATTCAAGTTACCAGACTAACAAATTAATTAATGTCATTTTTACAATTCATAGCTTGGTCTTATTTACCCAAAGCAGTATTAGCGACATTTTTCCTGTAGGTACTGTAATTATCATTACTTGAGCAACGTCCTGCATGTTTGTTGCCTCAGTGGTTATAGCCAGAAAAATCAAGTCAGGACACATTGCTTATGAAGGCTGTAGCTTATCAGCGGAAATTTCGGAGGTAAAGATATTTGTCTCAGTGTATTGCCATCAGAAGTTAAAAACTTCCAGACAAGATTAGTAAATGACATATTTGTCGAGTGCCATCTCAGTCTCCGATGTGATACTTACGTCCATGCGGTAAAATGTCGGCTGCATATCCCAACCCGGCATCCTTCATGGCAGTGTGTAGTCTGTCCACCTGGTCCCCCGGCCTAACCCTACGTCTCCAGTCACGGAGCATCTCGTCGAAGCCTGACCTGGAGACACTGTTGAAGGTCAAATCTGGTCTGTTGAGGTACTTCTCTACGTCTGTATGCGTGAAGCCGAGCTGAACGCCCAGACCCTGGACGTCCGTAGGTATGAACAGGACGTTGGTCAAGGTCTCAAGCAGCTTGTCTGAAGCAAAATGTCGCCCTTGCCTGGAGAGCAACAAAACAAAGATGAGGAAGTTAGAAAGCAAAGTCATCAAGAAGAAAATGAATCCGCTGGTAGATTTAAAGGGATAGTTGAGTTCTTCTTCCAGACCGCAAATGCCTTCAAATTGTATGGTTATTGCTCTTATTCTTTTAAAAGACATTTCTAGTGCCCTTTTAGAACCTAAAACTGCTATGAAGGTAATTTAAGACCTCAAAATGTGTGAAATTTAGCGCATACGATCATACCAATCCCCCTCCATCTTACACAAAAATACGCAGACCGTTAATTAATGAATTAATTAACAATAACAAAAATACATGGGCCGGCTGGTTGTGCGTACTATAACCAACAAAAAGCCAACATTGGTATTAGCTGGAAAAAAACGTATTAAATTATCTAATATTTGTGGTGGTAGGCCTACACAAACATTAGAAATGGTTATATTTACGCATAATCCAGCCGTCTCTGAACCGATTTTGATCAAACAAAGATGATTTTGTCATTAAAATTGTATGTTCTTTCAAATTTGACACTCATTTTTTCATTATCTCACATAAAAATTATTTTGTGTACCGCCCTCTGCAAGAGAACTCAACTATAGTTGTGTTCTGTTGTAGAGAGCGCCTTTTGTGACGCGGTAAAGCCTCATTAAGATATAACTTAAACCTCATTCAGATATGACGCGGTAAACCTTAAGCCAGTTCACATATGATGTGCTAAACCTTAAGCTCTATTCTAATATGGTGGTAAGCAACAAACCTTAAGCTCCATTCAGATATGACGCGGTAAACTTTAAACCTCATTCAGGTATGACACGGTAAACTTTAAACCTCATTCAGGTATGACGTGGTAAACCTTAAGCTCCATTCCGATATAATGGATAAACCTATAGCCTCATTCAGATATGATGCGGTAAACGTTAAACCTCATTCAGGTATGACACGGTAAACTTTAAACCTCATTCAGGTATGACGTGGTTTAACCTTATTAGCTCCATTCAGATATAATGGATAAACCTATAGCCTCATTCAGATATGACGTGGTTAACCTTAAGTCTTATTGGCATATGACGTAAAGCTTAAGCCCCATTCACTTATGAAGCGGTGAACTTTTAGGCCCATCTACAAATAACTTGGTTAACCTTATTTCTAAAGATATGACGGGGTAAACCTTAAGTCCCATTCAGATATGATGCGGTAAACCTGAAGCCTGTTCATATATGACGCGGTTAACCTTAAGGCCGTTCCGATATCACGTGGTAAACCTTAAGCCTCATTCAGATATGACGCAGTAAAGCATTAAGCCCCATTCTGATACGATGTGGCAAATTACAGCTTTTCCATTATGATGTCATGGTAATTTGTTTTATATTTCTGTATCTTATAATACCGACCTCAATGGATACGGGCATGGTCTTTGCTGCACGCAGTTGCTTTTTTATTAAGAAAAAAACGCTACGGTTTACTGCTTCGAATCTGATTAAGCATTTAGGGTGGGGGTAAAATAAGATTGTACATCCTTTTTTTAAACCAATGTGGCGGACCCTTTGTACACAACTCACACAAATGTTTGTCTTTAAAGGTACCTGAAATTGTGATTACCATTTTCTTTGGTGTTGTAGTCCAGTGGATAAGTCATCGGACAGCAGATCACAAGGTACATGATCAAAATCATTGCAACAGTACCAACACACTCTGGCAGCACATAATCTGTATTTGCCACAATCTACCCAGATGAGGTAAATTAGTCCCAGGTAGGATAAAACCTTCGAATTCGCTGTACCCTGATAAGAATATGATATCACAATTCGCTGTACCCTAATAAGAATGTGATATCTCAACAAACATTCAATATGAAATGGTAAATTGGGTGTTACTTACGCGTCAGTGAGGTGAACACCATAATCTGGTTCCGCTGTTGTTAATAGAATTTAGGGAGAGAAAAGACATTGGAAAAAGCCATAATTTAAATATGTCCATTTAAGATGATTTTTTTTCTTTCTTTCTCATTCACACAGTCTATAATTTGTTTTTAGCAATACAGGAAAGACTGGAAACATAATGGGAACGAGAAAAAAAATGATGGATAAAGTTGACACAAATTATTGTTATCTTCCTGTCTTAAAATCTCTAAAATGAATCAAATGATTTGTTTAATGAACCAATATCATTGAAAATTACAAAGTGCATTATAAAGAAGTACAAGAAAATAGTGATCATAAATTCTAAAAAACGGTCTTACACGGTCTTACACCAATTTACAAGGCTCCTGATGAGGGGGAGGTCTCGATCAAGGCGTTATCTTTTCTCATCGTTTTCCCCTTCTCCCTTCCCTTTGTTTCCCCCTCATCTTTTTCTTTGATTTTGTCCACGATTTGGTTGGGGGAGGGGGCAGGGTGCCATGTTCCCCTATTCGCTGCATTCCCCTGTATCTATCTACACCACTACATATGGGTACTTACCTTCAATTGAAGTAGTGAGGCTCTGTTCTACGAGTGTCGATGTCCCTTGCTGGATTGAGAGATTGAAAGTCTTCTTTCCATCCTCGGACGGCGAGAACTCGAGCTCGAAGCTCAGGACACTGCTCTCCTCCGTCAGTAGATTCCCAATCGGGATCTAGGTATGATGTGGAAAGGAAATGAAAGTTAGGGGCAGGTGGCAGGAGCTTGACCTCACATGGTTGTGAATTAAATAAGTGCTTTAAAACAATGTATTTCATTTTCATGTGTCCATGTTCATCCCAGTACCTGACCTTACAAATTTCACTTCTTGGCAAAAGCCTTGAATCTACAAAGCATAGATATTTCAACAATTGACAAACTTAATGGTATCAGTTTGGTAGAATTTGTCAATCAAAAACTAGAATAATCCACAAATTTCATGAAGACAAAAACAAAAAATCGAAAAGATTTGACTTTATACTTCTTTTCCTTTCGTTATATCAAGTAATAAAGAACTAAATTCATGCTGATATCCATCCCAGATGATGCTCATGGCACCTACAAGTTCTATTATTGGCCTTGATTTAGTCAAGATGCCCGGCTACGTTCTGAAAGCATTCATTGGCTTTAATCAAGCAGTAGATTAATGATATATTAATCTACGAATTGAAGAACTGTAACACATTTTTTTACATTTTTACTCACTGTTTTCTGCTTCTCTATGTAACGATCACTGAAGCACATCAATAGATCCTTTGTCGTTGATTCTACTGAAAACTTGGTTACATTCGTCACTGGGCCAAATGGTTCCGACAAATCTTTTTCGGCTCTCTCAATATCCTAAGATAAAAAATGGGTCAAAGCTCATATTGAATAGAATAATAATAATATTAATAATAATAATAGGCATTTCTATAGCGCCATCTATCTAGAAAAGACATTTGTTGAACAAGTCATGAATTAAAAAAAACATGCAAATAGTATATATTTTTTGCAAGACATCGTTCAGTATTCTAATTTTGTTTAAGATATTGATTGTAATATTAAATTTTTGCATTGCTTTTGTTTTCTGAACTTTACATGTACTAAAATACTTTGTTTAGCTGTAAGAGGTTAGGCTCGACTAGCAATCGTGCTACAATCTGGCCCATTTTACCAACGAATAGTTTCTCTTCTTTTATATTTAATATCATTGTATTGCTGTTGGTAAATAAACCGAATCAAATCAAAAGAAGAAGAAAAACTTCCAAATCATTCATGCCTTTATAGGTCTTCTATAGGGATGAGTGACGTAAACCCGTAGTGTGACTTTCTGGGAAGAGGGCATGAAGAGAGGCTGGAAGGTTACACATCTGAACTGAACTCCTTGGATGTTGGTGGAAGACAAGGCAAAGAGCTGAAGATGGTTTGTAGTGAAATCAACCGTGTCCTTGGAGACGTGGAAACCTCTTGATGAATTAGGAAGCAACTTCCTGCGACTGAACGTTCCTTGATGAATAAAAGAGAGATTTAATACTGCTATATTAATTCTTTGAATCTCGTTAGAATATATATTTCAAGAAAATGAAAGGTGTCGTCCACTCTAATTTTATGTTGGCTTGAATAACAGCAGCAGAATGAGAAATACAGAACGGTGAAAGTTTGAGCAAAATTCGATTAACATTATTAAAAGAATCATGATTTTTTAAAGTTGCAATCTATGAAACACAAATTGACAATTTTGTAATGTATCTTAAGTGGGCTATCCCATTTGTTCTGTACTAAAGAATTTACATTTTCTTATTCCTTGATGAAGGAATAGATGTTTGTTGTCATTCAGGGGTTTTAAAAAAAGTACCAGCATTGTCATTATGAATGTTAAAAAGTGATTAGTCCAGCCCTTAAATATTTTTTGTCTAGAAAGGGTCAATACCTAGTCCTGTTTTGGTGTACAGGATCATCCCTGAGCCATCTCTGAATTGCTTAGGACAGACGCAATGTGGAAGCACTACTGTAGCAGGTTCGAGCAGTTCCTGAGTTAGAGAACACTCCACGACTGGAGTGATCAACACCTCACCGTCCCTAAGAGGAATCCGAGCAGCGCCCTCTCTAGGTACCCTAGTGGTGACCACATATCTCATTCCCCTGTTTAACGCCCCGGAAGGGAGTGAAACCCGGATATCTAGCTCACGCAGCTCCACTACCCCACCTCTGTGATCCAGGATGCTGTTCGAGAAGAACTCCACGAAGCCTGGATCAACTTTGATGGCTGTAATGATTAAAAAGTGACAAAGGTTTAACAATGTGAGGGGTAAAAGAGAGTTTAAAAAGCAAAGAAACAGGGGGTACGAGTTCAACTTTACTGGGTATCTTAATCCAACATCATAAAGTCAATCTACAATTTAGGTAAGCCAACACAAAGCCATTTTGTTCTATAGGTTTCGTTGATTTTTTTTGTTGTTGTTGATTTTGTTGATTTTTTGTAGATTTATTTATATTTTATTATTATTATTATTATTATTATTATTTATTTTTTTGGTGGGGGGGGGGGGGAGAGATATTTGTGGTGCATCAAGAGGTGCGGAATATTGTATGCTTACTTTTCTATTGATTGGGCGAATTTTACATGAATAGCAACAAAAATAATTACTTGCAGCTATTCTTTCTGCTGCATCGTTGAAACGGAAAGCTTGGACAATCTCCAAGAGTCTCCCTCGGGTTCCTCCTCTCCTTAGCCATTCTCTGAGCATGCGCAGAACAACCGGGTGTACTACGTACGGGGGCAGGGTGACGGTCTTACTAATGGCACGCATGATGTCAGAAGCGCCAAAGTGGAGGCGTGGGGCAAGCTGAAGCAAGTCTGACACGGAGCACATTGTTTTGTAGAGTTCTTCAAGAGAGTCATCTAGAAATAAGCACATGATAATGATAGAAAAAAACAACAATAACTAATATCATCATTATCATTACTATCATCAATAATAGTATTTATTATTTACACCATTGTTACAATAAAAATTTATTTAATTATCACTAATATTTTTAATTTTATTGTTGATATTATTATTACAATTATTATTATCAATTCCATTTCTATTATAATAATTATCATTATTATTATAATCGTTATTATCATTGCGGTTGTTGTTGTTAATGGGCTGAATGCAGACAGGAAAAGAAAAGTATTAAAGAAAATGAAAGTATGCAAAAGAAATACAACTTGCAATGTGAATCTAGTGGAAAGTCAAACGTTTACTGGGGTTCTGGAACCAAGGACATGCTCGTTGTTTAAAGTGATTGTCAAAGTGAAGGTACGGACAATTCTTCAGAATCTCCTCGGTACCCACCCACCAATGCACCCATCCATACATCCACTCACGCATGCACCCATCCACACATCTACCCACCCACACACTCACATATACAAGGCAAACCTGTTTGGTTGTCCTGAATATTGTATTCCAGAAGAAGCTCAGCCATTTCATCGCTCCTTTCCTTCCTATCTAAACCAATCCACGAAATATCCACGAGCTGTCTTGCAACCTTGGTCAGTGTTGTCAAATCAGTTGGCTCAATGAGTGGAGCAATAACGTCGTCCTCCAAGCAGAGAGCTTTTCCTAATTCCCATGCCAATGGCAAACTCTTCACTGCCCGAGCGACACTCCAAAGCTCCTCCGAAGTTGGTGGTCCTCCAGATTTGTTGATGTCATCAACATAATTGTACTGATCTATAGTAAATAAAAAAGAATCGTTTTGCGATTGAAGGCTTTCGGTACCAACATGTGACAGAATTACTGAAAGGCTGTTTATATATTCTCTCATCAAAAGTATCCGTTATATGGCAAAACGAAACGAAGGGTAAGGGAGGAGTGATCAAGATCAAGAAGTTTATGAGCAGATCACAAAAGTTGAAGTTTGAAGGGTGTAGTTCTGAAAAGAACTATCGGTATTCCTCTGTAGAGAAGAACAAAATCAAGGTGCGCATATACCCTGAATCATAGCTAGTTGAAAGAGACAGTTGCATCACTGAATATCGTTTCTAATCAATCAGTTGTTTCATGGAGCATACTTTTCTATACATTCTATGGGAATTTTTTTGTTGTCATCTACTGTTTAATCTTTTTTTTGGGGGGGGGGGGGGCAAGAAGACAATAATACCATTCCCGAATCAAAAGGATTAAACAAATTAAATCAAAGAATAGAAAATATTGTTTGATAAAGAAGAAAATGTTACTTGCCTAAATCCGTAGTCCTGATGATTTCCACATAGTCCGCATCCGTTCTTTTGCTTGGTGGAACTCTCCTCATAGGTTTGGTTATGGTCTGCTTCTTTCCAGGCAAACTTACCTCATCGACAACTAGATATATAGTAACAATTGAAGATCAACACATACAACATCTCTCTATTGTTAAGGGGCACGACAAAAGTTTACTAATGTAGTTTGTCCCATACATTACTGAGTACTTCAAAGATTAAGTATTTCGAATAACTCTATCAATTCTATAGCCCTTCTAGGTTACATCAGAGGAAGTATTGGTGATAATTAGACTTTTGATACCGAAAGTGTAAGTACTTGGTAACATATGGGATACAAAAACACCAAACCCTTTGGACTTGCCCTAAGAGAGGAGGGGGTGTGGCGCAATCGGATCGTCGTCCGGCTCCCATGACTTTCGTCATTTGCAAAGAGTAGGGTGTAACCCAGCATGTAGTGTGCCTGTATACAAACTGGTAACCTTTCTACAAATCTTTGTGATAGGCTGCATAGCCCTTGAAGATTAACAGAGGAAGAAGAAGAAGAAGAAAAAAGAGAGGAAACGTTGTCAGAGTACGGCCTACCCTGGGATTTCTCTGATTTTGATGCTGTTTGGATGGACTCCCAAACGAGTTTCAACGCCTTTATAGCTTCTGGTCCTGAAGGTTGATATGCTTTCCAACTAGACAGCATCTGGATGTTGGCATCCTTTCTGTTTGCAAACGTTCGATGCTGTATGTGTTCTAGCTCCTTGCGGTTGAATCCCAACTTCTGTCCAATCTCAAAGAACTGCTCTGCTTTGATCTGACTGGCAAACGCAAGCAGTATCTTGTCGGGAACCTCACTGTGATTGATAGTAAAGTGAACCAGTTATTACTTCGCATCGGGTCGGGTGGTCGCGTTACCCGACCTTTTGTGACAACATCCCCTTTAATTCATACAGATTGGGTGGTCATGTTTGTCGCACCATCTTCCACTTTCATCTTCGTTTCATGCAATATGACCTAATGATTCGAAGTAATAAGCTCAAATGAAGGACGTTGCAATTATTGTCTGTCTATGCATAACTTGTTCACGGACATGTACAGTTTCACTGCTATTCAACTTTACATGTCAAATCTTATGGCTCATCCTTAGTTGTGTATTTAGTTGCATGTATCTACATGTACCATGTCTGCAACCTAATCAATTACACTATATATGCATGTTCGCATAGGGTACATCTGTTTTTCCAATAATTAGAGTGAGAAGGCAATCTGTCCTTGTGGAATGAAATTGTTCTTGTTCAAAGTTTGATGGGAATTTTCAGAATACCAAGAATACCCCAAGAGTGACAACGTCAGTATCACAATTTTCTTGTTCATGCAATCTTAAGTCAAATATTTATAATTGTCGATATAGGGCTCTCTATAATATAAATATACTTACCCAGTTGCAGCTGATTATGATACATGTCGATCAAGTGGTAGATAATGAAGTCACATGGCCGGGGAAGGAGAAAAAGTACACAACATTATTCTATGTTGCAATAGATTAATTCTTTTGTGATATAACTGCTGGGAATAACTCCAAAGACGTGAGTAGGAAAGACAGATTTAA